GGTTGTGTGAAATAATAAATGGGATGTTGTGATAGAAAAGTATTAGTTAGTGAAAGGTTATGTGAAATAATAATGAAACGTTGTCAACATAGTACCAACGTACTGTTGTGCCTAGACATTTAGAGAAATATTGATTAGTAAAGGGTTGTGCGAAATAATAAGTTGTGACCAAAGTATTATCGTATTGTTGTGCGCAAAGTATTATCGTACTATTGTGCCCAGTCATACAGAGGAGTATAGATGACGACCACTGACTATTCTAGAAAGTCATGTGGAACACTAGAAAGCTCATTGCTTGTAGTTGTTAATGAACTACACGTTCAATCGTTGTGCTCCATCCCCCACAGAGTCGCCTCATTAACATTTATTGCTAACGGAATCCCCACAGCAGAATTGTCTATTCGCTGTGTAAAAAGATGTTATTCAATATCTTTATTTATTTTTTGGCGGATGTAGTGTTGGCTGGTGGTTTGGCGGTGATTATGGAGTTGATGGTGATCACATGATGGTAAGTTGAGGGTGAAGGAGATTGTAAGGGTGGTTTGTTTTTTATGATTGAAGGTTGTTGTGGTGGTGATTTCTGGTGGAAGATAAAGGTCTCGAAGGTGTTTGATGGTGGCTGGAATGGAGGGACAAAGGTAGTTTGTGGTGGTAGAAGGTGAAAACTGATGACGACGAAGGGTTAAAGTTCTTCAAGATGATGGAGATCGATTGTTTTAGATGGGAGAGGTATAAGGTTAGATAGGAGAGAATGAGGTGGTGGGTCCTACTGATTTTTAATTTTAATATGTACTTATTTATATATTAAAAATGATTAAATGAAGATAAATGATAAATAAAATGATATAAAAGGTCATTTGTGAGTGACCAATCATAATAGAAATTGAAAACACTGGGACCTTCCATGAAACCAAAAAAATAAGGATTAAATTGGATACTTACAAAAACCATAGAGGCCATTTATGAAGATTTGTCTAATTTAAATGAGGGACTAATTTTGTATGTTTTGAACTATATGCAACCAGGAGACCAAGGATATCTCGTTTTAGTGACTTCATCGATACATCTATAAAATTTTAGAGTCTAATTTAACACGATCTGAACTTTTATCCAGTGACGGATCCTAATAGGGTTAGGGAGGCCATGGCCTCCCCAGTTTTATAGCTTCTTATACTTGCATATATATAGATTATCAATGAAATAATCAGTAAATCGACTAATTAGCCCCCTGGTTTAAGCTTACTATACATATACCTAATATAATCAATAAGATTTAGGCCACGTTTCTTTTTTTCCTTCATTAAATACTAAATTTATAAAGTGTGCTGAATTGATAATGATATTAGAACTGATATATATTGCTGATATAAATATTGTTTCTTTTATGAACTAAATGCATTGTCTAAATCTGAATAAACGACTAATTTACCCTCATGTTTAAAAATAATAGATATCATTTCTTTGATAATTGGTATAAAATATAAATATACAAAATGAGCATTTATTTAATAACCATAATAAATTAAAAATACACACCATCACATTAAATAACTTTTAAATTTTAAACAAATCAAAAATAAGATTAAAAATATAGATTGTTCTAGAAAAAAACAAAATAGAAGTACAAGTATTGCAACACAGGAAACATTATTTGTTAGGATGGTATTTCTGAAAAAATAGATATGGAACTACCACTTAATGTTAAGGATATCATTTTCCTAACTTAATGTATTAAGTCATTTTCTTAAGATTAAGTCAAAAAGAAACCCACCCTTAGTCATTAACTAACTGAGAAATGACATAACTAATTAACAAAAACTCTAGGAGATCGCTAAAAAAATCAAAACAAACCATGTTTCGTTAGGAAACTATCTCTTAAACCATTTAACTCTATAAAAAACCAAAATCTAATCAAATTTACGAAATTCTTTGATTTGAGTTTTTTTTTTAAGTAAAACCCAAAATAAACTCCAGCCACCGGAAAAAAGTCAAAAATTTTACTAGAAAAATAACGCTATGTTAGGTGCATAACTTGCACCTTTTCATATGTCTATTTCATATTTATTCATAGCATCACATTGCATTCTAGTATAACTCTGAATGCATTTTGCATTTTCGGGATATTTTCGAGGATCAATCTACTTTTCATCATTTTTTTTGTGGATGTTTCAGAGGCATTTGAGGATTTTGGCATGCTTAGGATGTTCGAGAGAAGCTCTATGCACAATTTCAGAAGAATCGAAGCAAGATTGAAGAAATGAAAAAAATGGAAGTAGAGGCTTATTTAGGGCATTCCACGACCTATACCATTCCACGACTGTGGAATGAGGATTTCAGCATTTCAGTATTTTGCCATTTCGAGGGCGTGGAATCGTTGCCGACAGTTTTTTTTTATGATTTTCCAACTTCCGTTTTAAAGGAGTTTCTTGGCCATTTTGGACACAACTTCAGCCAAGACTTCCCAAGAGGCGATTTTCATCAAATTTATCATCAAATAGCACTTTGTAAACATTTATATTTCGAATTTATAAGTTTGTTTGAAGATTAAACTTGTTGAATTTGTGTTTTGATTTAGCCATGTGTGGCTAACTTTTCCTTTCATGTCCGGTTCTAAATCCTTAAATACTTGTTGTTAGACTATGATGTGAACTTAATTTCATGTTTCTATCTAGCAATCTTTGATTTGTTCTTCATTATATGTTTGATTTGTACTCTGTTCACCTGACCAATGAATCTAGTGTTCATATCACTTTTGTTAGTCAAATTGTGAAATTCGTATATGTTTTATGATTTGATGTTGGTAACAAGCAGTTAATTGGTTTCAATGGAATCAAAATTAGTGTAATTAAATATTGGATGTTCATATTCCCGAGCTTATGAGGAAAATTGTACATTGTTGGTATTAATTGTTTGAACTTAAGGTCTTTTAGTGATTTAATCTAAGAGTTTGGTTTGGATTTTATCAACTAATTGAAGTTTTACTTAAAGATCTTGATTTGAGTAAAATATTTTTGTCAATTTAGAGATATTGGAGCAAATTAATATCTTAACTACCACCCTAGATTTAACATAAATTGAAATCACATTGTATGTTACAATATAGTACTCAAAAATCAAAATGGGAATTAGAATCAGAAATATCTTTTAAATTTCTAAATTTTAGTCTTTAATTTATCATTTTATGAAGTTTACTTAGATGCAAACAAAATCCCCCTTTTTAACAATTGGTAATAGTGTATCATGTGAAAGTATGGTCAAACTTTAAGTCACATATCTTTGTAGACCGACTCTGCTTACTCTATACTATCTTTAGTATACATACTAGCAGTGGCTTGTGTTTAATAGTTATTATTTTATCCCTTTATTTGTTGGTTTGACACACCAAACACACTACATTCCAACTGCACCTCCTCCACCTGTTGTCGTTGTCGGATTGTCACCTTTTTCGAGCGTTCTGAGTACTCTAGAGAGGATGTCGGACTTTGCTCCGTACTGTTCCTCTCTCCACTCCATTTCTACACTGTTCACTAAAAAAAGCATAAAGATTGTGAAGTGTGAAAAGTGAAAGCCGAAGATATCTAAGATACAGACTAAAATCTGACATCATTTGCTTTATCATATAAAACACAATTATTTTTTATTTTGTTATTCTTTTAAGTGTAAATCAATTTGAAAAAAGGACATTGTATATACATAACATATGTTATTATTTTGTTATTATTATTTTTTAGTAACTTGTATTTTTATCAAAAATTGGTTGTTTGTTAAAATATATTTAATCTTTATGTTCGGATTTTGATAAGTCATATTTGAGCTAATTTTTTCTTATATAAGTCTGTTTTGATGTTTTGGTTTCGGCCCCCTAGTGCTCGTGCTAAGGTTTTGTCCGTGCTTTTATCACTAAATGATAACAAACTAATACTTCCATGACTCATTTTATCATTAAATCTTAAATTAAATACGCGACTTGGTTTTAGATTAAAACGAAACCTCAAACTATGTAAATGAAGTCGAAAAATAATTGCAATATAGATGGTATTACGTAGGCCTGTTGTACGGGTATATCCGTTGGGTTTTGGACTTTTCGGGTCGGGTTTTCGGGTAAATATCAAATGAAACTATACCCGATACCCAAACCGAATTGAATATCAGGTATTTGGGTTTCGGGTTAGGTCGGGTAAATTTTAAGATACCCAAATTTTTTTTAAAAAAAGCATAGATTTCATTACAAAAAAATATATACAGGGCTATTTTAAATTGGCAAATAAAATGTACAATGATTTTTTAAGTAAAACAAATGAAATGTATATATATTTTATTACAAGCCAACATCACCTTTAAATTGTTAGATATGGACAAATGCTATTTTGATATATATTAAACAAATGAAATGGTAGTGTCACAAGAGAATGAAGTCATTTTCAAATGCACATAAAAATCCTTATATCACCAAAAAAAAGAAAAGTTGTGATCTAAAAGAAAGATGGGAGACAAAGCAATATTTAACAAGAAATTGGAAGTCGTTTTTTATGCTCAAAAAGAGATTTCATTCCATTATTCCACTATATAAGAAACTGTATTCCCTTTTTCCAACAACAAATTGTATTATTTGTTTAAAAGACACTCAAAATAAATTATAAATTTTATAATATAATCATCTAATAGCAATATTTAACGAGGGGTCGTTATTTTTTCAAAGCGGGATCTTGACTTTTACCTAGAAGGAGAAACACATGCATGGTACTAAAGTCTAAAATATAGATTATAATATTATTTCAAAAAAATATCTTGGGTATACCGAAATTTTATATCGAAATCTTATACCTGACCTAATGTATTATTGGATTATCCGAATACCCGTATTTTGAAACAGGTTAATTCCCGAATTCAAAACGGATCGGTCGAATAATTCGGATATCGGTTATTTTCGACAGGGCTAGTATTACGTCGACGTCGACACCATCCAAGGACAATTGGTTAACAAATAATAATTACCTATTATGGATCAAAAATGCGAAAACAATTTTCGACCTATTAAAACCCGTTCACTGAATGTAAGTGCAGGGACTAAATTTGTGGTCAACTAGCCTATTTACCATCACCAGAACTTTGTTTATAAGCTTGTGATCGTGTATCTGTTTTCTCCCAACGGCGCTCCAGTTTAGCGACTCAAGTCAATCTTTCAGTTTCCGTTTTGTTCAACTGATAAAGCTTCCAAGGTATGTGACCTCTTCTTGGTTTCTCAGAATCCGGAATAAATTTTAGGGTTTTATATGCCAATCTAAGGATAGAGATGTGCTTATCACGAACGATTTAAGACATTCTTGTTAGCAAGGTTTAGATCGTGTTTGGTTCGTTTTTACTCCGATATCTTCTAAACGCACTTGATTTGAAGTTGATTTTGTTAATATCTGCATAATTAGTTGCTGGATCTCGACAATCAATGTGTGAAAGAGTGATTGTTGCTGATCCGCACATTTGGTTTCCAGATCTCAAAATTCGGAAAATAATGTAGAAGATAATCCATAAACAGCTCGCATAGCATAGTGGATCTTTCTTTTTTGTTTGCTTCTGAATCTCTTTCAACCTCCCTGATTAGGAATTTGGATTTTGAAGCATGGACATGGTCTATAAGATGTTGACTTATTTTATGACTTTGTTCTTGCAGATGATCACAGATAGCGACCTGGGATTCATTGCCAACTTCCTGGGCATATTCATATTCGCCCTTGTAATTGCTTACCATTATGTGTTGGCAGACCCCAAGTACGAAGGAAACTAAACCACTATTAAGACATGAAATGTAGTTGTGGAGGTGTTTGTTATAAGAGTCAAGAGATTATGAATGTATATGACATTAAGAAGGTTCAATATCAATTATGACAATGAAATTTTGATAATTCTGTTTTCATTTGTTTGGAATTATGTTTATGATGTTAAAGGAAGAATATGCTCTCTTGATAATGAAAACCAATCTATAAAATGTCTGTAGAAGATGGTTACGTTCAAGAAACTATTTCTGTTGTACAACTGAGGGAGCATAACCTGTTCATGATAAACTTCTAATAATGTAAACAAGACATAACCATAGTAGAAAAGAGCCCAACATAGCAGAGACTATGAACTTGCAATCCTTATCTAATCTACTACCATGACAAAGCTCAGAATCAGATAATGTAAGCTTGAGATGACGATCTTCATCACCGATTCGCATTCTTTCCTCTACAGTTTCAACCTCACTTGCACATTTAGAGCAACAACACTTTCCACCAAGAAAAGGAGGCAAATCTTCAAAGTACCTTGAAAGTACCTCTTGTAAATCTTCCCCCACAATTGTCAGCTTTTGCTGTGTTCTAGGCTTCAATACCTTCATGAGTAACAAAAACTCCTTTCAACATTTTTGATTGCATAAATGCACATTTAACCCTAGATAAATGAGATTGGCTTACTTGGAATAGAGTTTGAGTTATGATTCTGGCAACAGAGGGAAGGCGTACAACAAGTAAACATCCAAGCCGATTCGGGTAATGATCTTGAAGAAGCACCGCACATGATCTAAATGTTTGAACCGGGAATCCAAAAGGTGATAGTCCGTGACAATCCATCAAAACAGTAAGCTGTGGATGTTCTGCATCAAGCAAGTTTAGAACCCCGTATTCCACCTGTGAAACTGATATATACAAATATGGTCTCAAACATTTGATTAATCAGCACCAAAAAATTCCTTGAATTAAAAGAAAAACAAATAAACCTAATAAAATTAATGAAAAGAAATGCATACCGATTGCTTTAACAAACTGTGCTTGGCCATTTGAACCCAAATGAGAGCATGCAAGTCCAACGCGAATAATGAGGGTGGGTCGTTGCATCAAATCAGAGCCATGCCAAAAGACCAAATTGCCCCAGGCCTTGAGTTCTTGTGGTGAAAGCAGAGTGTATTTCTGCCTCCACCGAATACTCTTCTTAACTGATGACAAAAACTTTTCAAAGTCACCATCCGAGACAGCATAGAATCTATGAAGCTCATCTTCACTAACCCTGGAACAATCATCAGATCTATGTTATAGAGCACCTCAAAACTCACAAAATGCATAACAAACTGATAAAAAGTAAACCTTTTGGATAAATAAGAATTTAACATGTGACACGTTCATTCATATTTTGGCAAAACATTGTGTGACATAAACAACTGAGAGTAGGTACCTCTCTGGTATAGTAATGCCCAGCTTCTCAAGCTCTGCATAGAGTTTCACCAACCAATCTTCCATATCAAGACTTGCTGAAACCTTGTTGACATACCTGCATAACACCTCACTATTTACTACTAAACTAATTAATCTAATCAATGAAAAACAAGAAAGAATTACACACCTTGTGTCTTGTGTGGCCAATTGTGCAGATAGCTCTGTGAGATCAGCACCTGAACCACTGAGTGTTCCTTTTGAATTGGAGGTGCCTGATTCACCTAACAAACCTGTTGCCACTGACAGGAACAACAATGGCCTTGACAAACTCTGACAAAAAAAGAGAAAAGTATTTGACATTGTGAAGATTTTAAACACACAAATAATTAAAAAAAAAAAAGATGGATGTGTATGATTGGATAATGAACCTGCATTCCTTTAACCAAAGCAGTAAAAGGAGCCCATCTCTGGATCCATTTAAATGGCGGACAACAGAGAATCTGAGCTGCCTGAAGCCCATGCCAGATAAAAGGACAGTGAGCTACAGAGAACCTTCTGGCTATTTCTAGAACTGCACTTGTCAAAAGAAAGACTCCAATATCACCAACACCACCACTAGCCACCAGGCTGACTTTCATTGAAGTCACACATTTAAGTGTCTTCTTTGAAGATTTCTTTGCAAATGAACCAAGCAAACGGCTTTTGGGAAAATTTTGTGTAGCACTAATTCTCAGCTCTAACTTCTTATTAGATTGGGTAAACCGTATTATCTCCCCCTTCATATCACATCCTTTGTCAACCTAGAAACTGCATAGATTGTTTAAATAACCAAAGTGACACAAAGTAAAGCACTTACACAAATAACTTATGATTTGGCAACAGATGTTTTCATTAGATGTTTACCTTCTTCACCCAAGATTAGATAAATCGAGTTCTATTCATCACAAGATACAAGTTTAATTTTAACTTATAAACATCATTTGCTTCATACATTCCCATTCTAACATACTTTTGTCAAAATTTTCCTTTTTTGTTTATAATCCACTTTTGCTTAATCAATAACAACAGTCTAATAGGTGATCTTATCACATTGCAACATAGATATACTAGCTATCATCTAACATATTATCGGTTTATCTGGATTCATAAATATATCACAACCAAAAGGCATAAATATCACTTATTTCAGAAATTAGGAACAGAATTCATCAAAATCACTAGCAAAAGTTGCATCAAGAACAATTCCAAACTTAGAAATATGACAAAAGAAACACATAGATATCATTTATTTCAGAGACTAGGAACAACATTCATCAAAATCACAAGTAAAAGTTGCATCAAGAACAAATCCAATCAAATTCTGACTGGTTGCTTTTTCTTTACAGATATGAAAATATATTAAATACAAAAGTATGACTGTGAAATCAATTCTAACCCAAATTATTCCATAGGTTTCAGTCAAAGCCAATTAATATCCTCAAACTTCATGGATTTTGGAGTGAACTCGATTGAAGGGAGAACTATTCAAACGAAAACGGAAAAGCACAACATGATTAATCTAATAGTCAAAAACGGCGTCTAGATAATCGATTGGCTTTTGAAGCTAAAACAACACGTAAACGATTGCGCTTCGAAGCTACTGATAAATGAAAAATAAAATACATATATGAACAAATCAATAATGACTCAATTATACGATACGTAAATCGTAATCCATAAGAACAGCGGTTCATTACCTCGGAAGTTCTTTCTCTTCAATGGCGGTGGCAAGGTATCGCTTATTCGGACATGATTACGACTTGTTTCCGATAACCGTGTAGCTCTATATATATTTATTTAGGACCCGATCCGTACAATTGTGGTTCGGGTCTACTTTCCGGTTACCCCGGTTTGGCTATTTATGTTTGCGTTTTAGGGCCCTACGTTTTAATAAAAAAAGTTATTAACAACTAGGGATAGACTTAACAATTGGAAACACAAACAATTCTTTAACAAAAGTAATAATTTGAATTTACGATATGTTAATAAAGACCATATCAAAACATAAAAGCATGTGTAATGTCCTTGTAATTTTTAAGGATGGATGGTATGGATCATTTTTATCTTTAACATCTTTTCTTTTTAAAATCGTATCATATCATCCGTTGGTCATTTTTTTTTTATTCAACCATAGCAAATTATACAAGTATCAAAATAAGATGCACAAACATGTATACCGTGTACCCTAAGAACCCATTAATATATCTGATAGAGTGTAAGGTCCTGCATAGGACCCAATCAATTAATTTTAAAATAATACAAAGGTTGCTATCTATATTTATTAAGTCTAGGAATCTAGGTAATATTCATCAAAAATCGTGGAGGAGCTAGATATAAATTATGATGGGTTTGGTTTGTACCTAGTTCCTTACTTTTTTTTTAATAGACAACCGTATGGTCAATGTTGAAGGGTTAAGATTTTTTCTATATGTATACAACAAATTTCGTTTTTCTTTTCTTTTCATTTCTTCCTTCTCTAAATGAGTTTAGATTACTAAGTAATTCATTTAATTTGAATTATGGTTCCTCATAAGTGTCATATGTGATATCTCAATGCATGTAAAACATGTATCTAATATTTTAAACGTTTTTTCATAAATTTAAAGTAAATGTGATGTCTATATATTTTAAACGTGTTCCAAAAATTTAAAATATACTAGTAGGATATTTACGTGTTGCGACGAGTTTATTAATCATATATTTTCAACATCATTTATGTAATGTTCTAGTAGGATATTTACGTGTTGTGACGAGTTTATTAATCATATATTTTCAACATCATTTATGTAATGTTCTCTTACACGAAGACAGTTATTACATCAAGACCAATTCCTTTAATTTTTGTTAAATAAGGATCATTTCTATAATGTCGTCATTAAACATGAACCATTTTTGTAATAAAGTTATTGCATATAGGACCATTTATGTACTACATGTAAGGGTGTTATTGAATCGAACCAGCTCATGAGATACTTGACATCATTTTTGTAATAAAGTTATTGCATATGGGACCATTTATGTACTACATGTAAAGGTGTAACTGAATCGAACTAGCTCGTGAGATACTTTACACCAATTCGAAAAACACACGAAATCGACTTTGTTCAAGTCGAGTTGAACTCAAGCTCAAGCTACTCGAGTATATTATCGAGTCGAGCTCGAGAATTGAAATACTCTGCTCGTGAAGTTCACAAGCTTAATCGAGCTTAGTTATATTTATACTTTTACCTTTAATGTTATTAATATTTACATAATCGAGCCGAGTCAAATCAAACTCACAAGTTTAGTCATACATCTATTTCAGTTTAATGTAACTTTATCATTTTAATAATATGTCGAGTTGAACTCGAAAATGTCGATTAATTTATCGAGCTCGAGCCCGAGTTTGAAATCGAGGCTCGAGTCAATGTCAAATTAAGTTTCAAGCCCAGTTTTTTAGTCAAGTCGAGTTTCGAGCTTGGCAACACTCGACTTGATTACACCTTAACTACATTGTCTAAAATGGTAACTATTAACTAATGCAAATCAAAAACTATAGGGACCAAAACTATAAAAACTGAAATTAAAACATATAGGACTAAAAATGTAGTTAATACAAATTGAGAAGTACAGGGTCCAAACTGTAAATATATTAAATGAAAAACCACCAAAATTAAAATTACTGCAAATTAAAATGTTTAGGGACTAAAATTACAATTAGCCCATTTCCTGTGGCATATATAATGTGATGTGTATATCGATAGTTTATGTATAGCTCACAATCATCATTTCACTAGTCTCTACTTTAAAATGTTTAAAGAGTCATTTCCACATTTGGGTTTTCTTGATTGTTTTGCTTATCTAGGTCATATAACACGTTGTCTACGATTACGAGTTTCCTTACATATTGTCATGTCTATAACTAATTATTAAATGAGATTTTCTAATATGTGTCCGCACATATAAGAAGTATTAATTATAAAAAATATTATCATAATTAAATTCAAAATACATTTATTATGGAGATTATTAATGCATTTTACATTTAATTTTGGTAATATTCCTTATAATTAATGTATTTTACACTTAATTATGGTAATATTTGTTATTAATTAATACTTATTATATGTGTCTTAGGCACATATTAGAAAATCCCTTATTAAATTAGATGTATCAAATGTTAAGCATGACTTAATTGATTTTACTCATGTTTCTCAAATAGGGAGAAAATTTTACGCCATTTATATTTTATAATTGAAGAATCAAACGAGTAAAATTTAAAAATTAGTAAACACGTCAAATCCAACAATTTAAATTCACCAAATATTCAAATGTTAATAATATCTGAAATTCTGAATGTGTTGTTTAAATAATTAAACTAGTCTTTCAATAATAACTTTTATGATCATTTTCTATTAATCGTTTCTGAAATTAAAATATGAGAAAAAAAATTACCCTACTCTTCCAATTATTTGCCAAAAAGTTACTCAAGTAACACTGAAATCACATATGACTCTTTTTGGGCTGTGATTTTATCACGGGCCGATCGCATGAGTGCATAGTATTCAAGGTTAAAAAAAAAATTTATCATTATTTATACATTTTCAATTGAGAGTTAAGCAAAAAAAACATTTGATGACAGTCAAAAACACTTAAATTGTAACTTTTATTATATTCATCTAAATTTTTAGTTAGATAAGTATTCGAACAAGTTATGCATTATTTTTTTGTACATCCTTATTTAAAGTTAGAGGAGACAACAAATATGATTAGCTCATCAGCTACCTTTACATAAACTGGGGCAGAAGATTTTTTGTTTGACTATAAACGTAAAAAAGAAGATATTTTTTTTTTCAATCTTTAATATTTGAGCTCATGGGGTCGTCCCACGACGAAATTGCTACCCATAAGTTGAAATCGCAGACTAGTAAAATAAGCTGCGATTTTAATGGCTGTTTGAGTTATTTTTAAGTTTTTATCTTTTTTAATAAATATTTAGAAGATTAGGCTAAAAAAATTTTATTTTTTTTAGATACGCTAAGATTAATTTAAAGAGCGCGTTTTTACTATTTTATGTTTGAAGTGAGTTGAAGAAAAGAGGATGGAGAAACACATCATTTTGCTCTAGCGCTTTCAATACTCAAATAGTACGGGAAAATCGTACACTCCGCCACGTGGCACAAACCCATTGAATGAGACAAACAGGGCACACCGTACAAAATCAATCCTCTTCACCCGCTCAATAATCAGGTAGGTGTGTCTCTCTTAACCTGAAACAACCCTAGAGATGATATCTAGAGCCTTTGATCACGAAACAGGCGACTCTAAATCCCGATAGCAACGACGAGATCATCAGAAACAAAAATGCGGCGAATCCCAACCCCACGGCGATGTCCGATTGGATGCAAAACGCGTTGTTGGCCGTACACGTGGCAACCCTCCTCAGCTGTCTCGCCATTTCCGTCCCCGCCGCATCCGCCGACAGCAACATGTACGCAAAAACCTACAAAAACGACATCGTTTTCGTTAACTCACCACTATCACTGTCTCTGTATGTCCGGATGTATGTGTGTGTTTGCAGATACAAACATTCTTTTGAAAATAAATCTCACAAGAAAATCAGCGCCATTAGTGTGCTGTGAAAATTTCGAATGTTTCGAGGTGAAAATTTATGAATTTTTCAGAAAAAGTTACATGAAACAATGGAAATAATCCGTTAATAATTATTGATGAGAACCTGATCATGGCTGAAGTCGAACCAGACTTGGCAGAATTCGGGGAAAATGGTAGAACCTCGAGAAATCTCCCAAGCAGAAGCAATCATTTCGAATAATGAATATAAAGCGACTATTGCATTTGCTGCTACAACGAATCTGTGGAATTTTTGTTACGATTATATTTAATATTCCAATTTCGCCATAAATCAATGAAATTTAATCGGTTGAATTGAAAGAGGGATCACAGGAAGTTTACCGGAAGGCTCCGAAGTCGTTCCAGTGAGGGGAGGCGGACTTGGTGGCGAGCATGAATACGGCGGCGGAGAGCGCAGAAGAAAAGGCGGCTAAACGGAAGACGAAAATCAAGGTATTGAAACGGCGGAGCTTGCGTTCGGAGAGAGTGGAGTGGAAGTGAGGGGTATCGTGTGGATGAGTCTGGTGGATCCGCGGTCGTGGAGACGGGCTCTCAACACCACAGTTCCTGGTCATCGTACCGTTTCACGGCAGCCGGCGATGCCACTACAACCAGAATAGGTATGAAGAAAAGTGAGAGGTGGTAGAATGATTTCTATATTCTTCTGGAGATCTGGAGTGTTACAGAGCTTAAATCGGTCACGGGGGAAGGCATGATTTCCATGGGAAATATAAAAAATTTACATGATGGGGGAAAGACAGCAGAGAGGGTGTGTGTGAACTTTGAAGCGTGAAGTCTGTGAACTGTGAAGAAAAAGAAGGTGAGAGGATGATGATTGGTATGGGTGTCTTTGCTTTATTCTTTTTCTTCTCCTTTTAGATGCTTTTTGTTTTGATTTTAGTTCTTTTGATGCAAATTGCACTTAAAATTAAGGATTTACAAAATTTAATCCTTAAAATTTTGAATTTGTACTTTGAATGACTAAAGCCAATCTATATATAAATATGTTGTTCCAAGTTTAAAGAAATATAGAATTTCATATATTAAAGTTTAATCTACTGAATGTTAATTAAACGTCTATCTTGTTTAATTATATTATTAAAATATGCATTATGGATGATGTTTGTCAAATATATTTTTTAAAAATCATATATAACCTTCATACACTGTCAAAATATCAATTTATCTAAAATTATTTTTTAAATATTTTATAATATTTTTTATTTCAGTCATAGGTCAACTATTGCAGATAATTTTAAACAATACGATAGATTATATATTATTGAATAATTTTTTTATCTCTAAGAATTACTTTTCAATTATTCCAACAAAATAAATTGTTTAATTTATAGGGAAAATGACTTAACAGAGTAATGTATATTTTATTTTGTATAAATTTAGTCACTGAAAAAAGAAATATATTCATATTTGACCATTTAATTTGTTATTTTGTATATATTTAGTCCTTATAACCGGCTAATCCAGGTTAATCTGATAAAAATGACTTAGAGGGTCTTTGGCTAGGTATAGAAATGGGGCGGGGTTGACCATCCATATATCCATCCCCGAGTGTTTAACCTCGTCCTCATCCACATCCCCGACGGATGCGGGGAATCAAATCCCCTCCCTTTGTATTTTGGGCTTTTCCCCAGCCCATCCCCGACCGATCCTCAATCTATCAACATAATAAACTCAACTTACACACACAAAAAAATCAAGTTTAATAAGCGATCAAAACCAGATGTCATAATCAGATTGTGTTTACCATCAATCATAAAGTTTAACAAGCATCAAAACAATAAGTGACAATTTGGTATACAAATCGTCGAACAAAATGACGATTGACGAACTCTTGAGAATTTGAATTGGGAACATAATTTGGTATACGACTCTATCTTTGATGGTCTAATATAGATCAATTCATTTTAGTCGACTTAAGTCAAATTCAATAAATGATCAATATAGTAATATTATATATATATATATATATATATATATATATATATATATATATATATACACACACACACATAAAGTTATCAAAGCGGGGGCGGGGCGGGTTGGGGATTGGTATACCCGGCCCCGGCCCCATCCCCGGTTTTAGCATCATGGGGATCACCGACCCCGTACCCAGTAACCGTTTTTGCGGGGTATACTCGTCCCCGATTGGGGCGGGTCAACCGGGTTCCCCACTGGTTCGGGTGAAATTTTCATCCCTATCTTTGGCAAAGCTTGTATAAAATAGGCTCTTTCAAAAAAACACATATATAAAATAGTTTTTATCTTTTTTAACTTATAGCTTATTAACTTATAGCGGTATCAAAATAGAGTTTTTAAAAAAGTGTTTGGCTAAGCTTATTTTGTGTCAAAACGCAATATGGAGGCGTGTGTTTTTTTGCCGATGTAGGTTTAGGTTAAGGGGCATATTTGTCAATATTTTTTTGAATGGTGAAATAAGGAGTTTTTGATAAGTAAGGGATAAGTGACTTATCAAAAAATGACTTATTGGAGGTTCTAAAGAGCTATAAGTTGCTTTTACTATAAGTTGTTTTTAGAAAAGTTTTTAAACAAACACTCTTTTTGACTTGTACCGGTGTGGGACCGATAATAAGTCAAAAAGCTTCTTTTATAAGCTTTGCCAAACACCTTTTAATATGGTAATATAATTTTTAGTTTATACACGTTTAGTGCTTAATGATTTTGTATACATTTAGTCCTTATGACTAGTTTTCAGTTTTATTCACGACATGCTATGTATGATAATCATTAATTAGGTGTTCTCACACGTGGCTCGTCCCTCACTTATATTAGTAACCTAATTCACGAATCGGTTAAATAATGTTTGTACCCTAGTTTTCTCCAAGCAAAATGTAGGCTTCGATTTCATCTATCTCCATAACAGACAACAAGATTCTTTGTGATTGATTCTTCCCAACTCGAATTTGTTGTAACGTCCCAAAAACTTTCATTTTCAAACCACCAAAAATGATACAATCATTTGTTCAAAAGCCAACCAATGTTTAAATGTATTCTAAATATTAGAGTAAATCAAAATAGATAGTGCGTAAATAAACTCCAGGGGATGCAGTGCGATCACGTCGGACCTTTCCTTTTTGGAACTAGAAGTGTCTGAAATGTTTAAACCATAAAACCATAAGAAAAAGCTTAGCGAGTTCCCCAAAATACCACATATCATACATAACATTGGACCCCACATAACATAATGGGCCCTGCCTACATAACAGGCCTCGCCCAACATACAAACGGGCACCGCCCAACACACATGCAATAGACACAAAGACAGCTAGCATCCTACATAGTATAGTGAGAAGACTCACCTCTCTCATAAAATTAGACAAACCACAACTCAACGTCACAAAACGGTGCTACAACCCACCTATCGAATCATCACGGTCATCCTCATACACACATCTCGGATCGGGTCACACTCTGATATGCGGCTCAGGGCGTCGACTACCACGTTAGCCTTGCCCGGATGATACAGGATCTCACAGTCATAGTCTTTCACCACATCCAACCACCTCCTCTGGCGCATATTCAGGTTGGGCTGATCCATGAGATACTTCAGGCTCTTGTGGTCCGTGTATATGGTACACCGAACCCCGTACAAGTAGTGGTGCCAGATTTTGAGGGCGAACACCACCACCCCCAACTCTAGATCGTGGGTGGGATACCTCGTCTCGTGAGGCTTCAGCTGCCTCGATGAATATGTTATCACGTGCCCTATCTGCATTAACACCGCACCCAACTCAGATATGGATGCATCACAGTAAACCACAAAATCCTCCATCCCCTCGGGAAGGGCTAACACCGGGGCTTCGCATAACTTTTGGCGGAGAGTCTCGAAGGAGGTATGCTGCTCAGGACCCCAAGTAAAAGCAACGCCCTTCCGGGTCAATCTGGTGAGGGGGACGACAATATTGGAGAAATCCCTGATAAATCTCCGATAGTAGCCGTCCAAACCCAGAAAACTCCTGATCTCGGTAGGGGATTTCGGCACTTCCCATCTCATAACGGCCTCAATCTTGGCCGGATCGACCAATATCCCATTCTGGTTAACGAGGTGTCCCAGGAACTGGACCTCCTGCAACCAGAAATCACACTTGGAGAATTTGGCATAAAGCCTCTCCGATCTCAACACTCCAAGAATCTCTCGCAAATGCTCCACATGCTGCTCTCTGGATCTCGAATACACTAAGATATCGTCGATGAACACGATCACCGAACGATCCAACATAGGCCTGCACACCCGGTTCATGAGATCCATGAACGTTGTCGGTGTGTTGGTGAGCCCAAAAGGCATCACCACGAACTCGTAGTGCCCATAGCGAGTCCTGAAGGCCGTCTTCTGAACATCCTCCTTGCGGACCCTCATCTAATGGTATCCGGACCTCAAATCGATCTTGGAAAACCAAGATGCACCCTGCAACTGATCGAACAGATCGTCGATCCTCGGAAGCGGATAACGGTTCTTGACCGTCAGCTTGTTCAACTCCCGGTAATCAATGCACATCCGGTGTGAACCATCCTTTTTCTTGACAAAAAGGATCGGCGCTCCCCACGGCGAGCTACTTGGTCCGATGAATCGCTTCCCCAACAACTCCTAAAGCTACGAGGATAACTCCTGCATCTCAGGCGGCGCAAGGCGATAAGGGGCCTTGGCAATAGGCGCCGCTCCCAGAACAAAAAGATTCGGAACTCCACCTGCCTCTCGGGAGGCACACCCGGAAACTCCTCGGGAAAAACATCTGGAAACTCTCTCACTATCGGAACCTCAGCGATAGAACTCGATCTCTCGGCAGCAACTCGCGTATCTATAACATACGCTACAAAACCTTTACAACCCTGCTGTAGACTCTGTCTCGCTCTGGCGGCCGAGCAAAATGCCGACCCAGATCGGGTACCCTCGCCGTATACCATAAGTACTCCCCCGCTAGGGTCTCGTATGGTCACCAACTGACGCTCGCAGTCGATCATAGCTCCGAATCGACTCAACCAGTCCATGACCATGATGACACACACATCCCCCATCGCAGTCGGTACCAGATCTATTGGAAACTCAACTCCAAAAATCTCAAGTTCACATCCCCGGATCACATCAGTCGCAAACACCGCATGCTCATCGGCTATGGAGACTCTCAGAGGTCGACTCAGTGCCTCTCGTCGGATACTGATGTGACGACTAAATGCTAATGATACGAAGGATCGACTCGCACCCGAGTCAAATAACACCAAGGCAGGTACAAAACTCACAAGAAAAGTACCTATGCATAACACAATATAAGCATAACATAACTCAATTAAAATAAATAAAAGAACACATACCGGTCACAACATCAGGTGCTGCGCGGACCTCCTCCGCTGTCAGCTGGAAAGCTCTCCCGCGAGCCTTCGGTACCTCGGCCTTCACCGACCGGCTCTCTGTAGCTCGTGTAGTAGCAGGGGCAGATCCCTATGCTGATCCCTGTAGCAGCTGTGGGCACTCGGCCTTTCGATGGCCGGTCTGGTTGCAGTGGAAACAAACTGCAAACCCCTTGGGGCAATCCCTCGCGATATGCCCCTCCTTGCCACACTTGTAGCAAACACCAGCTCGACACACCCCCTCATGACTCTTGCCGCACTTTCCACAAGTGCGGCCCTTCCGGCCTCCAGATCTCAAATCAGCGGGATTTGCCCGCTTGGCTGCCGGCTGAGACTGTGTCGGTCGCCTATCCCTCCCCTGAGACTCTGCCTCCTCTCTGGCTTGAGTCTCTAGCTCAATCTCCCTTTTCCGGGCATTTGCCTGAAGCTCAGCAAATGTACGGTATGCCGAGTTCGCCACAAACT